AAATATGATTATTATGTTGTTTATTGTGGTTTTGAAATGTCTTCATCAACTCATGTGTTCTCATATGCTTTACCATCGGAGATGTGCACAAGGCGATACCCAAACCAAAAAATCATTCAACTGTAACGAGCGCTTTGGGGTATATATCGTTACAATGAGACAAAGTATCTGAAAGAAATATGGCGGAATACGGCTATAGTTGGTATGAAACAAGTCGTACATAGATGAAAATGTTGCGTTTTTAAGAATTCATGTCAGCTTTAAGATCGATTTGTTTTGTATTGTAAGTCTCTTAGAATAAATTTGTTTTTCATGTCTCATTTTTTCATTGGCCATAAGTGCCCTTTGCTTCTGGACATTTTGTAAATTATTCTTGAAAGGTCATAAAACAAACACACAAGAAAGAACTATGAAAAACCAGAAACTTCATCTCTAAAGAAAATGATAAAATTCAATTTGATTAAGTTACACATTGACAAAGGCGGGGATGGAAAGATCTGAAATCACATCTAAGGCACAGTCTTAAACAGAACGAAGAAAAGAATAAGGAGAGTTTATACACTAGAAGACAGGGGATCTAAAACAGTTGAATTCATGTTTTCGTTACTTATACACAAAAAAACAAAGTATATAAGAATTTATGGCGCCTTGAAAGAAGTCAAACATATAATTCACGCTTTTGAATATGTGGAAATCATCATGATATCTTGCGTATACTCATTTTCGTCATGAACAAAATTTTCATCAATTTAATAAGAGTAATAAGACTATATATATAATGCTTGTTTTCTTAGCTTTTAAGAACTTATCATAACAATTTTTATCCAAATATATTTGTGATTTGCGAGTCACTAGCGTATTTGGACAAATCGATCTCGGTTAAAGAATATCCGCCACCAAGATTCTTCATCACGTGATTGACGTCGTCAAAGTGATACTGTACGGAAGTGCCTGCTCCAGCCCCACCATACGTGAAGACAAATAAGAACACTAACTGGTTGTCGATTACAAAGAAGCTGGGATTCCCACTATCACCCACAATTTTACTCTCATAGAAAGCATGGCGATATGATAAACTTGGAGCAGTAAGGCTGACCATTTTGTCGTGCATCATTCGGAGATCGTCTACGAGAGCCTTCTCTTCGTAATCAGTACTCAGAACTGGAAGGGCGTGATTCACTTGGGAACCATATATTTCCGTGAAATTTCTGGGAAGGACTTTTGCAAAGGTAATGGAGGAAGGTACGTCTTGATCAAGGAGCCCTATCATCATGTCGTATCCGTTATGATAGTTTGTATGAGCTGGGACAGGAAGAGCATGGATTTTGATAATCTTTCGTTCCACAACCCTATTGTTCATATCAACAAAACGTAACGTCGTATTGATTGGCATGTTATAGTGCCTGGCCCAAATAGCATGTCGAGGAGAGAGCAAGGTTCCTGCTTTACGGTTGTGGCCATTGCTGTTCCAAGGTGACATACAGGTAAGGTCAAGGTCATGGGCCCAGCATTCCGAATTTCTGACATAGACGTTGTGGACGTGATCCTGTTTGGAGAAGATTTTAATGGCTTCTGATACTTCTGTACCTGCTGACTGTGTCCTGAGGAGTCTGTCGTCAATACCATCAGCGATGGCTCGGTATAGGTTTGTCTCCACACTAGAGAGAGTGCGAGGGGACGTGGAAGTGACATGATGGGTGAAGTTACAGACACCGTTCGCTCCAGTCCCTATTACCGTGAGAGAAATGTGACGGTTATAGAATGCATCACAAATAGCCCTTTGATAATCACATACACCTGTGAAAGAAAATGTCATTTTGTTATTTATATAATTATAACAATGGTAGTGTGGAAAGAAAAGGTGCATTTTGAAGTGCACAAAAAGCCAATTTGCAAACAGCGAGTTTTATTACTTTTAAAACCAAATAAGGCTTAATATTGTTTTCAAAATCTGATTTAACTCTATAATCACCCATTATCTGAGAAAATATATTTCTTGTATAATGGTTGATGATTAAGCTAATTCTAGACTGTTATGATTGTATTCAATCAATCAACTTAGACACGTTTCTAAACAGATGATCCTTCACACTGACCGTTATGGACGATGCCGTCATTGGTACAGATTGTGATGTGGGTATATCTCTGACAGACTCCGTTTTCTACGTCCTGTAAGCACTCTGAGTACGTCTTCCCATACACCAAATATGCTGTAATATCAGACAAATGAGAACAGAATTGCAAGAAACCGATTGCAAGATACCGGTGCCATGCTTATATAATAAAGTTCAAAGATAGTGCGTGAATTACCTTGGACTATCAGTAAAGTTGATATCACCGTTTTTACCGAATTTATTATTTCCATATTTTCTTCTTGGCAAACCTGTGACTTTTATTGGAGAAATGTCTTATCTCTCACTACCAGAATAGGAGATATAAAGGATTATACATGTTTGTACTATAAATGTGCTAAATTATGATAATATCTGAACAATTTTTAAAACTGTTATGCCACCACATGTCTCTATATACAGGTTCGCCTATTTTTCAAGCCGAAGCTGGTTCAATAGTTTTGTGATTTTATTAGTTTTTATATAGAGAACATAGTATCAGCGAGAAAACTAATTGAATTCAAAACTGAAAAAAACATGTGTATTCCTTATCTATCATGTTCTTTCATATTCTTTCATTCAAAGAATTCAGTTTTTACCATACGTTACTTGTTGGATCCGGTTTAATATCCAAAAAAAACCCTGTATCATTTAGAAGGACTTCAGGATTTTTTTCAACCACCATCCCTCACCCTAAAAACCCGTCATAGCTGAATTAAAAGAATAAACGACTTTTAAAGCAATCTGATAATGATATAATTACTTTTTTACAAATATTTTTTTCCCAAACAATTTTTAGCTCACCTGAGCCGAAGGCTCAAGTGAGCTTTTCTGATCAAAATGTGTCCGTTGTTTGTCGTCGTCGTCGTTGTCGTAAACTTTTCACATTTTCATCTTCTTCTCAAGAACCTCTGGGCCAGTTTCAACCAAACTTGCTACAAAGTATCCTTGGGTGAAGGGGATTTAAGTTTGTTCAAATGAAGGGCCATGCCCTTTTCCAAGGGGAGATAATTATGAATTAATGAACAATTAATGGCATTTTTAAAAAATCTTCTTCTCCAGAACCACTGGGCCAAGAAAGATGAAACTCATGTGGAATCATCCTCAGGTAGTGTAGATTCAAGTTTGTTCAAGTCATGACCCCCGGGGGAAGGGTGGGGCCAAAATGGCCGATCAAAGTTTTACATAGGAATATATAGGAAAAATCTTTAAAAATATTCTTCTCCAGAACCACTGGGCTAGGAAAGATGAAACTCACGTGGAATCATCCTCAGGTAGTGTAGATTCAAATTTGTTCAAATCATGACCCCATGGGGTAGGATGAGGCCAAAATGGCTGATCAAAGTTTTACATAGGAATATACAGGTAAAAATCTTTAAAAATCTTCTTCTCAAGAACCACTGGGCCAGGAAAGATGAAACTCACGTGGAATCATCCTCAGGTAGTGTAGATTCAAATTTGTTCAAATCATGACCCCCGGGGGTAGGATGAGGCCAAAATGGCCGATCAAAGTTTTACATAGGAATATATAGGAAAAATCTTTACAATTCTTCTTCTCAAGAACCACTGGGCCAGGAAAGATGAAACTCATGTGGAATCATCCTCAGGTAATGTAAATTCAAATTTTTTCAAATCATGACCCCCGGGGCTAGGGTGGGGTCAAAATGGCCAACCAAAGTTTTTCATAAGAATATATAGGGAAACCTTTTAAAATCTTCTTTTCAAGTACTTCAAAGCCATGATTAGTAATATTTATATGGAATCATCCTCAGGTAGTGTAGATTCTAGTTTGTTCAAATCATGATCCCCCCCCCCACTAACCTCAGTAAACTTTCAGTTCTGATCTGATATGTGCTTTTTTTTAGCCGATGTGCTCAGGTGAGCGCTGTGGCCCGTGGGCCTCTTGTTATATAAGCAAGCAATATTTCTCCAAAAAAGACACACACCATTGAACCCTTATAATAAGCATGTTATACGATCTTGAATCGAAATTTACTGAATTATGTAAATTTAAACATGCTAAATGTTAGAACTTTCAAGTTTAAAAAATGCTTTCGCGACACTGATGTTTAACGAGGCTAGGGGGTGGCAGCCATTTTTAGACTATTTCAATCTCCTTTAAAAGGAGAGCTCCATATAAAGATATACAAAATAGTAAAATTTTAAAACTAAAATATATGAATTTTTTCTTTGCCAAATTATAGTTGACAGCTAAATATACCGTATATAAAAAAATAAGTTAAATCTGGTGGTTAATTTTGGATTAAATTGTTGACCCACCAGCCTCCTTAACACCTGTTACAGAAATTCGCAACAATTCAGACAACTGCTTGTTTGTTTGTTTTACATTCCTTCGAAAAGTTTTCACTCCTTTTGAGACGCCCCGATTAATTGCAATTGGAGACTTTTACTTGGCACTTCGGTCATTGAGTAGTAAGGGGTCTTCTTCATGCCAGCAGCTACTGCAACATGGGACGTCGCTTTATACTAGTTCACGGTCTTATCCCTATGACCGCTATCCACTTCCCGCAGTGGGATTCTAGATCACGACGTTATTAGGATCAAGTCTTCATTTCGGACTTCGGGCAACCGCTCTTACCACTACACCACGCGGGTAACATTGATTGTAACGTTATCGAAGAATGGGCATTGTTATTCATGATTCCAAATCGTTAATTTTTCTGATAATCTCTTATCATCGGTACTTGGCGTTTTAAACTATTTTTTCATTTATGAAAATACATGTATCAACGTACTATTATAGTTTGGGAAATTTTTATCAAAAAAAGAAAGGTTTAAAACGTCAAGTGCTTGTGAATTGTAACATCAAAATATTAATAGCATACTTTATTCTGCAGAATACAAGTATTTAAAATGCAAAATGGGTAAAACAAACAAAAAATCAATTTGTACTAGCATTTCAGTAAAAGCCAGAGAAATACAGAAGTCCTCAAATCTGATTATATATCAGTTGTATATTTCACGTCTGAAATATAATCACACAAATTATTGTAACACAATTCTTCCAGCGTATACTTTAGATGTTAGAGTTGGAAACGAGGCTCTCACAACGACGTATACCACACTTATGTGCTCCATGTCGTCCAGATCGTAGGTGGTGTCCACTAAGCCATCTTGGCGCAGAATATCACTAGCTCCAGCAGAAGTCCCAACGCTGACGTCATATCTAGTAGGATGACGTTCGTTATAAACGAACACACGGCTCCAGTCAAGTCTGTACAATCCGTCTTTATTCAGTGAATGTAATATGGCGGGAAAACCTGCACATATAGCTCAAAAGTTATAATTATAAAATTATGTTACGCTGTTTTAATTATAAAAACTAAATGCATGAACATCTATTTGCTGAATTTTACCATTCTTGATACAATTTTGGAAGCAATATTTCCTGTAATATAGTTTAATTGCTCCACAAAAAGAAATTTGAAAACTCTACCTGTTAGGACAGGTCGCTGCACATCAATTCTAACAGAAGCATTTAGAGCAGGGCTTATCCATCCACCACTGTTCCTTGCCCGGATAAAGACTGTGTAAATTTCTGCATCTCGGAGTATAAGGTTACTGAAAGAAGCATAGTCATGTCTGCCAACATTGACCCAGTTTTGAATGATACTTGAACCCTTCTGAAGCTTGACATCATAGGAGATTATTTCAGAGTCATCTTCGAAGCCAAACCACCGGAATTCTATTATGGCTGTATCACTTTGGACTGGAACACCCTCGATACGAAAATATGGATCAGGGACCACGAATTCGACCCTTGCGTTCTCAAGTGACGGTTTCTCAATGGAAACGATATTGATTCCTCCTCGAAGTGTTGTTTGTAGTTCTAATTCGTTGACACAGACCACCTCCGGTACGAGTTTCGTTCCGTGTGTGGCATTAATGTAGTTTGACACAAAGGGGCTTGCCGTAGTCTCGCAGGGATAAATAACAGCTCCTTGTATGCTCTCTACAATAATTAAAATTTGAAAATGTACTGAAAAGTATCAAAGATCTGTTTGTTTAATTGATAAAATACACTGTAGTTACATTATGATACAATTTTCTGAAGGTTGAGAAAAGTAATCAGCAGAAAACAGCATGAATTTTATAAATAAGAAACAAGAAAATGCATCTTTTATTATTCTTACTGATGCAAGCTTTACAGAATTTGACTCCACTTTCGATGTCTTCCGATCGGAATTGTAGGATCATTTTAATCAGAGTGCTGTTGTCAACCTCTTGATATTCCAGTTTTTCCGAAAGAATCTCTATATAGGGTGGTGTGTGGTCGGCAATACTTTTGTTCGATGTAAAAAAGTTTTGTAATTTGGCGGCGTTTTCAGCAACAGCATGCGAAAATATTGGAGAACCATGGGGAAGAGAGAAGTGCATCGAAAAATGATGTTTTCTCCCAATATCAGCTAGAGGTTTTATCTGGGTTCCATTTTCAGTTGTTCCAATGCCAAGCTCAAATCTTTGTATTCCACTTTCAGGATCCATAGCTTTGACACATGCTTGCAACATGTCTGGTGAAAGCTGTGTGAATTCTATCACACGTTTTGAAGTAAATTCATCAGGATGACATTGATAGATGCTAATGTTTAGTTTATGAATAGGCATCTGTTGTTGTATGACCGAAATGGTTTTTATTCCAGACGTTGTTGCCAGTATGCCGTGATGGATATCGGCAGATCCATTAGCATTCATTTTCACAGGAAGTCGCATAATTTCATCTTCAAATCTCAGGACAATTTCAGTGTCCCAGGAAGCCTCTGTATCATGAATGTAAAACTTATAAAAGAGTCCTTGTTGAACTGAAATATTAAAAGATGTTTTCTCCGAATGCAAGAGTTTTTGTCGAATCAAGCTTTCATCTTTACATTGAAAGCTACTCGGTTCAGTGTTGTCTACAGTAAAAGAAGGGGAAAACGCTAAAACACCCTCATGTCCTGCTGCATCACTGGCTTGTACAGAATACCTGTATGTCGAGCTATCTTTTAAAATGGGTGATATAGCTGTTGTAGAGAAATTTGCGGACGTTAACTCTAAGAGATGGAACGAACCATTTTCAAAGATTTGAGTCCCGAATGAAAAGTTTCTTACGAAGGATTCCGTGTCGGTAAAGCCGATCCAAGATGCCCCAGTAGGTGATTTACTTGAGAAGAATGGTTTGTTTTCCTGCGAGAGTGAGTTGAATACCACGCCAGAGGTTGGTAAACTGTCATCAACAAGAAATCCATCTGACGATAAAGTGGTATAAAGTCCAATATTATTGACGGCTTTAACTGTAAAGAAGTATCGCACACCAGGAACTAGCGACAGAGATGGGCAATATTCCGTCTGATTATCAAGGTTGGTTGGCTCGAGTACATCGTCCACTAGAATAAATGAACAAAATTAAATATGACTGATAAATTTTTTGCGTACAATATGTTCAATGAATAACCTAAAGATTTATATATGAATTATGGAAATCGAACAAAATTAAGTTTATTATATTAGGCAATTTTACAAGATAATCAAAACAGAAATACGTTTTGGAGAGGTTCCGACGCTGAAACTGTACACTAATCGATCAGCATCACTAAACACATTTTTCCAGCACGCACATATTTTCCACTGGCTTTCGGCAAACTCGATGTCTACTCCGCATGCCTTATTTCTGGATTCAGAAATAAATTTTCCTTTTCTGACTCTAGGTGGGGTATCTTTAATTGTTATGCTTTTGCTTTCGAAGATAGCATACTCATCCTGTGAGACCCAAGCCCTAACATAAAGAATATACTTCTGTTTGTTTATTAAAGTCTTGTGTGCGGGTAAGCAAAATAGAATGGTGGTTTCCAAATCATTATCTGTCCATGGATTTTCCTTTTGAAGGTCAAATATTCCTTGCCCTGGAGATTCGTTAGCCAATCCCACTGTCCACTCGTATCTTGTGATATTGCTTGAGTTTGATCTCCAGGAACCAGCAATGCAGGAAGTAGATGACTGAATGAAATTGTCCGAAAAATTTGAGGAACCTATAAAAACCTCGGTGTTTGTGTGATTTACTTTCCTGCAAGTATTTTTGCCATTAAACACACACTTCAAACCAACTACCCCGCAAGTACAATCATTGTTACAAAAGGACGTTTTACAGGAATACCTCTGAGTTAGAAATCGCCCTCTCAATCCAGATTTGTCAGACATCGAAGTAACCACTGTGGCCTTTGCAGTTTTACTCTTCAATCCTGCATAATTTATTGCATAAATGGACAAAATTATTTCATTATGAGCATTAGGTTTGAAACCATAAAGAGGAATTGTGGCTGATGTCTGATTTCCTGATATTTGTAGGAATCCATTAGTAAATTCACCTCCATTATATGTTTTTCCAACAGAAAGTTTGAAGAAAGCTATGTCAGACTCAACATCCAGAAAACCAAACCAAGAAATAGTGGCACTAGTCTGATTGGTCTGGTTAGTAGAAACCTGCCAGAAGTGTTCAGATGTAAAACCGCCCAAGTGGGGCGGGCTTGAATCGATGAGAATTGGTTCGCTTTCACTGACTGTACACAGGCCTGCCTGGTTACAAGCCGCCACAACCGCAGAATATTTATCTCCATTTAACAGGCGATTAGTGGCATTAAATGGGATAATAATTGTGTTCACATTGTCGTGAATGACTCCTTCATACGGTACTCTTTTGTTATGATGACTCTTTAGAGAAATAGAATAATGAGAAATGCTACTTTCCTTATCACTAAAGAGCCAGGATAGTTTGATAATAGAATTATCATATTGAATTTGTGTTGCTTCAGATAATGGACTTTTCAAGGTGTGGATTTTTGGCTGTGATATGACTTTGGGCGGTGTGTCGTCTACTCTAAATGCATGAGAACTAATGTTGGTAGTGAGATTCACATTATTGTACGCCATAACGGATACAAATAAATCAGTTCTTAAAGGAAGCCACAGAGATGGAAGATATACATCATTGGAAAGGAAAGAATTCCTGAAAGGTAATATGTCGCAAATTTCTTTCGTCGTTCCTATGCACCATTCGCAGTGTTCAACAGATGAGTGTGGGTCTTGGAATCCTACCCAAGATGCCATTATTGATGTTCTGTAACATTCATAAAAATAAATAAATTGAGAACAAAATGTCTATATTCATAAATCAGAATTAAGACTGATGCTTGAAAACATAAAACATACCTATCATGCAAATATGCCATGCGTCCTGAAACACCTTTTATGTAGACTATCCCAGCAACAGGTGGAGAATTGTCCGCAACTATACCATCTGAAACCGATGTGGAACAAAGCATAGCTCTATTACAGGCCTTAATGAACGTGAAGTACTTCTGTCCAGGTGTCAAACTAATTTTCCAACAGTAATCTTAAGGATAAAAAGGACATTATCACAAAACATTATTCAATGTACGAGTTTGAGTACGTCGTTTTTTCCAATCAGATAAACGCAGTTACATATAACATTAAAAATCTTTTTACAACGATTATGTAGCCTTCAAGATATATTGATTCTATAATTATAGTAAACCGATTCTGTAGTTCATTGTTTAATTGATTTATGGCTTTATCAAAGATTTGGTCCGAACCTAGATTGAAGGAACCCAAGCATATCTCTTTACATGTACAAAGAAAGAAAAAGATTAATACATGTACTCGTTTGGTTACCTTGACGAAGACTGACATCTCTAAGTGGATCTACATTAGGAAAAGTTGGGTTTGTACCAAGACCCGTCTGGTAAGCTACGGTGTCTGAGTGAGGATCACTGAATCCGTTCCAACTGGCACAAACGACATCCATACTTGTCTGGTAATCTTCGTCCTTTGTTAATGGAAATAAACGAGCAATGAATGTTATCTTCAAATATATCTATAGTTGACAACACTTAACGTTTCAAGAGTCCATTTATCTTTATTCTGTAAATACTTATCCAGCCTATATACGAGTTGTTTATCTTGAGGTATAACAAGAATTAAAATTTTGAGTTGAAGAGTTGAACATTACCGTATTTATTTCAAAGCCGTCAAAAACTGTTCCTGGATGAATTGGAGAGGTATCCAAGGTAAAATTATGAGAATACACAATCGAAGACAGAAGAGCATGATTAGTTATCTGAAAATATGATGACTACATGTGAAAAGATCATTCAGAAATCGGAACATATAGGATTGCTGTTAAAAGAACTGCAAGTATCAAACCTTTAAGACTGCTCTGTATGAGTGACCATCTACCAGGTTTTTAACGTTATCAAAAATCATTGAATCGCCATCTGCATGAGTTAGTGGTACGATGATTTCCCCATTGTGGGATACGAGACCACACTCAAATTCCATAATGTTACTTTCATCATCTGCAAATTCTCGCCAGTGGACCATTATAGGCTGATTCGATATGTAGTAGTCCTGCATGACATCACCTACATAAAGTTTACCAGCATCGGGAGGAGAAATGTCCACTGTGAACTGGGTAACGACGTACGCGCTTTTTAGTCCTGCCCTGTTTGTAGCTAAGAAGATACGTATGATAAAAATTATCTATACGCGTTTTCTCCATATTTGAGAATAAATATGAACTTCAAAAATACAGTAATAAATAAGATTAGTTATCGCTTTCCATCAACATTAAGACTATAGATAAATTATTCGTGAAATCAGTTTATAACATATTTAGTTTTACACCCCTTCTCCCAAAGGAAAGAATTATAGAGTACCATTTATTGTATACAATGATATTTTTTTTCAAATCAAATAAATTAAATACCAGAAACACTGAGGTAATAGGACTCTCCTTGATGAAGACTAAGTTCACGGATTCTTATTGGCCCATGGGTTGCCGTCTTTTGCCAGACCAGTACATCATCAGCTCTTGCCACTGTACCTAAAAGAATATTATGATTTTAAATGCATTTACTTTGGGGGATTTTGTTGCAGTTTTCAAAAGAAAAAAAGAAAAGTTTTGAATTTAATTTTAGCTGGTTTTTACCAATTCCATATTCGTAATAGCTTATAGGAGGAAGAGTTTTCTCTCCTGTAGGTTTGGCATCTTCAATAAATGGTTCAATATTCAGTGCTAAATCTGAAAGGGAGGTGATAAATCCATGATGATCTTCTATGGTTACTTGGCCACGTCGAGGTGGAGTGGAATCCACGAAAAAACCATCGCTACAGCCACACGAGTCATTCTTGCCCCGAATACAAGAAAACAAAATTGTTCCATGAGTTAGTGGTATGTTTGTGAACTTTGCTATTCCTTTGTTGACATCCGCTGCTGACAGACAGTCTAACCGTTTGCTACACTCAACTACAGACTCGGGCGTGTATGGTGACGTCATAAGGAATGCGTCCAGGTCTTCTCCGTCATGCCCCAGAACGAGAACCGACATCTTGGCATCAGGTGTACAATAATCAATTTCGAGATCTTGGATTGTGTGGCGTAACTTCCCTAAACTCTTACTGAACGATACCCGAGAAATTAAATCAGCCAAGCTTCTATTAATTGCATTAAGATCCACGTCCAAAATATTAAGATTATTTACAACAGGATTGCTCATCACAGTCACAGGAATACACTGAAGAAACCAGTTTTCATCTTCTGTCCAAATTTGAAGACAGAAATAAATTCTTCTCTCTATGGGTATAAAATGATCGAGTTCTTGATTGACCTGAAAGGGAAATTATTTTAAGTAAATTGTACAAAATAAAGAGAATATCCAACTACTTGAATAAAAGTAAGAATAGTTTACCTCTTCCCCATTTAAAACGAAGGTCCAATTAAAGAGGAGGTCTCTTGCCATGGCGTCCAAAGAGAGTGTCCATCTTTCAAGTGTTTTGTTTGGTTCCTTAATGATTGGTTTTTCCCAGCTTGCAGTAAGAATTTTGTTTTTACCAGAAAAATTTAGTGTGGCTTCTTTAAATTTTATTTGTAAAGTTTCTTTACGAAACATAAACCCGTCTGAGCTAGTGTAATTTAGGCAGACATGACCAAAGCACGGGGAGACTTCTACAAAGTAAGCGGTTTCCTCGATTAATTTGACGTTTTCAAACGAAGCAGAAGTAACCTTACTATACTGTTCTTTCATCGAAATAAGATTATCCTCAGACCCCCGATTTTTCCTCATAAGCTTTACAATATAACTCGTGGGTTGAATTATATCATCCCGTCTCATTGCCCAATGTAGCATGACACCATCTGTTTGATCCGTGAAGTCTTTTTCCAAATTACATTGATAAAAACTGATTTCAAATGCAGTCTCATATTTTGTGGAAAATTTAAGAGACTTTGATTTTGCTACGAAGATTACAATTTTGTGGTTGAGTCCTATGATTGTTTTCAATACCATCGCGTCTGAGGAGTTAATTAAAATGGTTGATATGTTGAAAACAAATGAATATATTTTACCAATTTTCAATGCTTCATTGAATGTTACTTCAAATCCTTTCATAGAGCCTACCCTATTTAAATTGATATTTTTGGGAGTGTCTTTTGGACATCCTTTACCATCATATACTTGAATGCTTGACGTTAAATTTTTCTCATCAATAAATGTTACTCCATCAGAGGAAACAGTGGTCTCTCCTCCGTAGGAACTGGCTTTTACAAGAGAATAATACTTCACAAAAGGTTCGAAGACATTTGTGTCAAAACAATGGCTTTCTTTTGAAGACGATTGTGTATAACAAACAACATCATCTTTACCCTTTCTCGTTCCGATTCCAACTTCAAACGTGATATTTTCATGGTGTTCAAATCCCTTCCATTTTACACACAGTTTAGATGGATACAGTAAATAATCCAGATCGGAAAACTCTACAGAATCAGTATCAATAACAACACCAGGTCCGGGGGGAATTTGAGAGGGAATCCGAAATGACTTTGACTTTGCACTCGCAATGTGACCTGCTTTGTTGGTAACTATTATTTCTACCACATACTCGGCCGAGTTTTCTGTTTTTGAGAGATGAAGACGTTGAATAGGGTATATAATACAGTCAGCCATGTTAGATCGTGGACAATCATTTTTACTGTAATGCTGCAGAAAAGGGGTGACGAATTTAGACCCCTTACCTAAGAGAGAAAAAATATATTTCAAATGATATTAAAATCAGAAACTTATAATACGTAATTACCGAACAGAAATTTACTTTCATGTGAAATATATTACCTATTCGAAACAGAATAGATTTCACTGGATCTATCTCTTCCTGATCAATGAATGTATCATTTTGCCATCCAATATAAATATTTCCATTTTCAATAACCAAGTCTAGTTCTTTAACAAAAACAACTGGTGTAGAATCAATAATCATTGGTCCTACTCTAACAGTTTCCGCAACTCCAGCCTTGTTTATGCTTTTGATATACAACCAAAATATATCTGCACTTCGTAACCCTGGGTGATAATTTATATATTTTGGTCGTCCTAATGTTTTAGTGTATGAAACAAGAGAAGGACTGAGATATTCCGAATCTGAGATGCCAAATCCTACGAGAAAGTCATCAAGCTGAGATTCCAAATCACGAAATTCCCATGAAACTTCGATCTTATCGGAAGGAACATAAATTTCTCGATTGTTGAAGGGAGAGACCTTTTCACACATTCCTTCAGAGTATGCCTCATCTGCAGATCGATTGGAAACTTGCGGTAAATTTTTTATAAACCCAGGAAATGTAAAATTTCTACAAATTTGAGTGCACCGCGAAGAATTCGTCAATGATATCTTTGACAGATTATCCAAAATGAGGAAAGGATTGTCGTTTTCATCACATGCTATACCCTTCCTTGTTGTAAACCTTTGACCAGTCAGGTTAAAAATTTGAACTGGGGACAAGTCATACATTATACCATCAGAACATGCAACATCGGAACGTTCACCTGCGTTATTGAATGCAATCACGGATGCGACATACCTTCCTTTCTTTGGGAAATAAAGACGAATAGACGTTTTTGTTGTATTAACTGCAACCATGCTTTCATTTAGTTCAACATCTAAAATTTCATACGATCCGAGGCATCTAGAGAACATGACTACCTGGTACAATCGTATCCCACTCTCATGGTCTATAAATCCATTCCAGTTTAAAAGGGTATTGTTTTCGTTGGTAAAATCTTTATCCTTTTCTTCCGGGGCACCTTCCATAACCACTCCTTTTACAGGGGCCGATTCATCAACGAGGATATCCACATGATCAATAGTTCGCAAAAAGGCGTTGTTTGTGACGACAAAAGTAAAAAAGTAATCTCTATTGTGCTGTCCAATGTTCTTATTGTTGTGCATCAGTTTTGACATATCTATGCTGTATGTTGATATTTCACCGGGGCCAAGTGATGGACAATAACACTTTGTATAGTTGTTACAGTCATTCTGAAATGATGCCCAAATGAATATTTCAATAGATGACTATTAATGTATTCAAACAAATTTAAAAATGAGAAAGCATATAAGCAGCACACACACCCTTACACACATAAACACACCCTCACCCTAAACCCTATCACAAATCCTCTCCCATACGGCCCCCAACGATGATCCATATAATATCATAAAAGATTGATTTTTATCAACTTTTAGAAACAATTTAAAGTACAATGTACATGTTCAAGAAAATTTCTTGGTTAGCAACTGCTTGGCTTGAAACTTTTATACGTGTAAGTTAAAACTGTTCAAGTAAATACAATTACTGCCCTCACACTATAATAACTAATAATATTACGTACGCCATTAGGTAGACGATTTACTGCTAAAGATCCGTTCCCAATATCCATTTCACCTAACGTTGTTCCAAAATACCACTGAATGGACCTCAGTCCACTATGGAGGTCTTGAATAGTTAAAATCATCTTCATTTTTGATAGCTCAATAGCATTGTGAACAAAAAGTCCTTTAAAATCGCCATTGTTTAAGCCCATGTCGGTAATTTCTGGAACAGAGGTGTCTATATGAACCGTAACCGAGTCGTTATTAGAGTTACCCATTATGTCAGTAGCAAAAACATCAACAGAAACAGAATCCCCGTCCAGGAGAGTCAAGTTGGTACAGTGTTTCGGCATCATTACATTTTCATGCATCTGGTTTATAATTCTTTTATTTCCATTTACAGTTATTGTGAAATTAAACTCTATAATGCCGTCTAAATTGACGGTGCCATTTCTGGGCAAGGGATATTCGTTGTCTTCGTATTCCTCTGCAATTAAAGATTTTCGTTCAATCGGTTTGAGAAGATTAGTCTTTTTGTGTAAAGTGTTATAAAATCGGCCGGTCCAGTCAAAGCAAAGTTCAGTTTTCTGTGTTTGCCAGGTTCTGCTAGAACTAAGATCTGCCGTCGCAATAAAAAGATTCTTTTGAGGATCTTTATGAACATCAGAGCAATTGTCAAATAGCACAAATCTTCTTGCTATTTGAACATTTCCTTCTCCAGAGTTATCTTTAATTTCAAGGTGGATCTCGTAAAGTCCACAAGTAGATAACTCAATATGCATAGGCGTTGGTGTGTTTGATGTTCTTGTATTACTTTTATCAGCTGAAATATCAGCTTTCAACAAAGCACCATCACCATGTATTCCATAGACAGTTATTTCGTATTCTGATATTCCTGATGCGTTTATATGTTTGCCTTTGAAATTATCCATATCTTTCCAACCTTTTATTCCAACTGTAACAAATGGCGACTTTGTTATTGAGTTTGGAATTTGAATAACGTCTAAATTGTTACATTCTCTAGTGACCTTACAATGAAGAGGTTGTAAATTGTCGAACCAAAAACATAATTCTCTTGTTGTCACCGTTTCATTGTAGTACTCTCTAGGTAGTGGCTTGTTCGGATCATGTAAAACTGTGGTTTGAAGATATCCTTTTCCAACAGCCAAAAACGTATAGCAAAGCCTAATGAAAAAAAGTTGACAATTATGTTCCATACTATAAAATCTAATTCAAAATGGGATTATAAATGTGAAAAAAATATTGATCCATGTTTAAAATCAAAATCATCATCATCGTCATCATCTGCATCAGCAACATCAACATCATTTCTTTCTTTGCAAATAAAAGTACTATACACAGCTATGTATTTAAGTGTTGTTTACTGTTAAAAGAAGTCGTATTTCTATGATGAAGAAAATTAATGACAAACAAGTTGATGAAACAAGAATGTAAGCTGTCGTGTTTTAAGTCATCATTTTGTAAATTCTATAGTCATTACAATCGACCTTGTCAGCAAATACAATTTATAATGGAGTCAAATGCTGACTGACGTTTTTCATAAGTGTGAGTCCATTATTTATACACTGAATTGGAGACGGATTTTCTGTTATTTCCCGATCATGACAAGGAGCACACGGCGGGTATCACCGGTCGCCACGGGATGCTCACTCCTCCATGGCACCTGATTCCATCTCTGATGTTTAAGAGGTCCGTGTTTGTTCTGCTCCTATTTTGTATTGTTTTATGGACTTTTGATCTTGAATACTGTTCGTTATCCATATGAAATTATGACAAATTTTGTTTAAGGAGTAGCAATTTGAAATATTAGCATTTAGCTGAAATTCATATATATAGCGACCATATAAGGGCCCTTTATGCAGTTTTTTTGTGAGGTCTGAAACCAAAATAAGTGTAAGTGTGGCGTTTTGAATTTTTTTTTATAGACAAACGATTAAAAGATAAACAAAGCAGACACATTACTCTCACATATTATGTTCTTTCTTCTATAAGTAGAATTTATCATTCTACAGAAATGGTAATGTTAAACGATTCAGGAATAAACAGTAACTCACCCATCTCCATTTTCAAGGGTAATATTTGGTAATGTTGTATCGTTGTTCTTAACGTTGACAGTATCTTCAAGACGGTTAATTCCCACGACGTGGTCAGCGAGTCTTTCACCAAATAGCATTTGTCTTGATTCTAAAATATAAATTCCTTATTATTTGATTCTATGTAAAAATTAAACTGTATGGTAAACTTCCATATTTACGAAGTAATACGAGGGGTGATCAAAAAGTTCGCGAACTAATTAATTATCTTCCAAAAAAGACAAAATATTTGGTTTCAGTATTGATTATATTTTAAATTAATCCTCTCCGATTTTAATGCACATCTGCCATCGTTCTGCGCATGCGCGAATCACGTGATGTAGCCGGTTACGTGACTCCCTCCGTAGCGTTCTGTCACAAAAGCTTTAAGATTTTTCTGAGTTTTATATCTCTTTCCATGTACGTTAATTTCTATAACAAGAACAGTTCATTTGTCAGAAATGGTCAAATCTCGGCAAAAGAATGGGTGGATAAGAATATCGTTCCAAAAAATAAGCATGGACACCATCAAAACCCAAATCTTCTGCCTCGGGAGAGATGTTTATTCCAGGTGGATAGAGAATGGGTGCTTCCTTTTTATCATACCTAATATATTGACAACCTAAAGTAAACGATATTTTAGGTATTTAATAATCATATTATTGTTAGGATATTCAGCTATTTTTCAAAGAGTAAATTGGAGGTCTTTCATAGCTATATTGCTTAATTAAAAACACATCTCTTTTCAAAGTTGCTTTCACTGGGCAAAATAACAAGCATCATTTTTAATCACCTCCCTTCCTTCACTAAAACAATCAATCCAATTAATGATTAAACTTCTAGCAAGTTTTTTGCCTTCATAAACCTTGTACAAATTACATGTATTATATGCTACTTCAAAGGAATTTCCAAGATATACCATAAATTCTACAGTCGTTTGTTGAACGAGTACGACTGAGAAAACCATTTTTCGTCACAAGTGACCTGCATAGTGACGTCATTTTCACACTGTGACGTCACGAACAAGGAGTAAAGCTTTATTCAGCATATGCTATTTATAGAACTTATGTATGGCTACATATGTACCAATTGTACCAATTTTTTTTTCTAATCTGAATTGTGGTTTTGTAGATATAGAGATAGTTTGCGAACTTTTTGATCACCCCTCGTATTTTAATATCAACTGTATATTTTGATTATGGTATTTATCTTCCATATGATTAGATATGGAAGAGATTGCTCTGAAAACGATCTTTTTTTCAATTAAAACACCACTGACAAATAAGTTATTGTTACAAGAATTTACGGATTCAGTAAGCTTTTAACAAATGTTATGATCGTTTTAAAGACTTTGTATGTAAATACATTTTGTACAGCCTTTTGGTGAGTTGTATATTGTTGGGCAGGCTTAAAACATTTATTATACCATTGATGTTTTTGTACTGGGTTTGGCTGCCGAGTTCTCGTATACCTGATCAATACGTAAGGCTCACGGGCGGGTGTACCCGGTCAATGGGGAAATCTTTCTTGTCTTGGGCTACTGATTTAACCTATCTTGTTGCAAGAGGTCCGCGATTTTGCCCTGCTCATTGATTTGATTACTTGCTTTCTGAGACCGATCACTGTTCGTTATTAATATGTTTTAAATGTCCTTGATTATTTAATACAAGTTAAATAAACGGCCATTAAAATAATCATATGCAATTTCTCAATATTCTATTTAATCATGTATTACATACTATCTAATCCTGCAATGATCATTTCCTTAATTTGAATGATTTAATCTAAAAAGGAAACCATTCATATCATTCACCTTTTACGGTTCGTTTCCAGTACAGAGAAAGACTTCCACCTCCTATTCCAAATTTATACTCTGTTATGAACGTTGGCTTTGGGTGGGTTGGTTTGATGGTAAATGTATATTGTAAGGTAAAATCTGTCTTTGTAGCCTGAAATTTTATGAAATTGTCTCGTTGGTCTTGGCAAGCTGAAGACGAATTTATTTTTTTCAGAATGCTGTGTTCTCCGTTTCTTCCATGTATACCAACGAAACAGGTTACAATAGTTGGTTTGCGGGTCACTGAAACATAAATAGAAAATAAACACACTCGGATTAAATTTGCTCACAGAAAATTCGATGTTCAAATGAAAAAAAGAATATTTCAATATTTCGCACTTATGCATTTTGCTTGATCTGCATTTTTTACGGTAGAAAATCCTTCGTCGCACTGACAATGGTGAGCGACATTATCAGAGCCACATGACCCGGGCCAGCACTGTCTGTTTTCCTGAGAACATAACCCTAAAATGAAAATGAAATAATTTTAGTAGTGTATTCTCTCCAAAAGCATAAAATTGGAATTATTTAGGTTAATTACTGACAGGCACACTCTCTGCTCCCATTGTACAGTACCACAGGTAACGCCGGGTGGCATCTTTTGCAATGACCATGTGGAGAGAGATAGCAGTCCAAGTCAATTTCCACACAGTTTTGTATTTTGGATTGATCTAAAAAAAAAAAAAACAAACATCTTTTTTAATCTTAAATTATACTCGATACAAATCTGTATTCAAAAATCTGTATTCAAAAATAACATTAAACAGGTCGGAGAGAATACTAGAAATCGGGTATTATCCGTGAAATCGCGTAGGGTATCGCTGAATCCGCGAAATCGGGTATTCCGTGCAACTTTCTATACAAACTAGAGAATAAAGCAACGGCGCATTATGCCAGTAACTGTTTCTTGTACATCAGTATCTTGTGGATTTATTTTTATTAAACCTAATTCATAAGGTTGTCAAATAAGTTTAAAATCACACGACAAACATTGCTGGGGTAACAAAGAGGACACAATGGCGTTATTATTTTTCAATATAATTTCTAAAAACAAATAACTACACTTCGTTTGTCTTTATTTTCCATTAAAGTATTCCATATACTTATTTTTCTAATTTGTGCACTATTCACAAAACGTGAAATTTTAAAGAAATTAAACGACTAACGCCGTGTTATGTATTTTTACTGAAAAATGTATGGCGTCCCTTTCTCGTGAAATATAAATTACTCCTAACAGTTAGAGAGTACAGTATAAGCGAGTCATAATTGTATATCTCTGCAATAATAGAATACCAACGTTATTATAAAGAAGAAAATAAAATAAGAGGAAATAAATACCCACGGGAAAACAGTTTGAAAATAGCTAATTGAAGGTGAGTATCTTTTTTTTTTATGTCAATTTAGCATGGATTTTTTATTCAAAGACACCGTAAATTTTTTGGTTGCATTTTAATCGATACAAAATATACTATTTTAACTTTATTTTATGCATTTGTGTGAAAATTGAGAGCGTGAAGTCATATGAACAGGATTTTCTTGTTTTTATTTGGGGGGGGGGGTTATAAATAAAAGTCAAATGTGTACATCTTTTCATGAAGTTAAAATACATTGAATTTCTCAATATAGATCGAGGTACAGTCATATTGAATATGAATTACATAGTCAAGTTTTCACATTTCTTATAGTTTTTACGTTTATGAACATGTTAATGAACAAACTGAAATAATGGAGTGTTCAATTGCCTTGGAAAGTCTTGTCTTACTTTCTGGGAATATAATTCCTCATCAGACATTAAAATTTCATAAAAATCGTAGCCACTTCCTTTCTTTATTATACTATTTGATAGACAGGGTAAATTTTACCTCTTTACTTTCTATATTTTTTTTATATCGCTATCTTATACCTCATTATAATATGCTAATACAACGCACTATCTGATTGGTTCTAGACAATATGTCACAGTTTTCTTTTAGTTATTCTATCTATGATACGTATTACTCATGGCAATAACTTTTCCTAATACTCATCTATAATGAAAAAATATGTTTAAAAAATAAACATGAATTCTAGTTACTTGTAGTCTTATATTGTGTTAGAAAATAACAGGTTGCTTTTTGTTTACCTACAATGTATATGATTTTTATTTGATGAATAAATCTTCCCTACGATTAAAATTATATGACCGAGTTTAACCGACCGTGACATTCAAAGAGAGGTCTCTTGGACACATGTAGAACACAGTCGAGGTTGTTTTGTCAGAGGTGGTCAAGAAGCCTTTAGCCCCCCCCCCCCCCTCCATTTTTATCATTACATTATTTATACATTCATTAAAAAATTTGATTTTATGCACAAGATGAATGTGAAAGTAATTAATGACTCATAATTAGATACGATAGACAATCCCTTGTTTATACATGGCATCATATCTGGTGTGTGAAATGTGTTTCCGTATAATTTGATTTATTTACAAATTGTTCATGTTTGTCGTGTTGATGTGGAATTATGATAAATTCCCGAATTCTGATACTTAACAATTCTGTTGTGTTGGGAATGAACATTAGCAAGATGCATATACTTTCAACATAAGGAAAAATATAAAGCAAATCGAACGCCTTTTTGTGTGCAGATCATGAAATGTACTGAGCTCCACGGGTATTTGTTGTCCCGAGCGCATTAATCTTGACGCCCAAATTCTTACATGGCTAGTGATACCTTTAGAAAACATGTGTATCTAGATGAAAGTTAACTCCCATTGTTTAAGTTTTATTAGGTGTTTACACCTCCTATACCCGATTTCGCGGATTCAACGATACCCTAATTTCGAGTATTATACGCGATTTCACTGATAATACCCGATTTCGAGTATTCTCTCCGACCTGTTAAAGGGGCTTCGTGGACTATTTTGATCTCCTCTAGAAGAAGAGCTCTATATAAAGCTATAACAAAATGACTAAATTTTAAAACTAAAATTTATGAAATTTTTCTTTGCCAAATGATAGTTGACAGCTTAAGATATCATATCCCAAAATTTAAGTTATATCTAGTTATATCTGGTGGTTAGTAAAAATACTTTGTTAAAGATATATATGCCGTTTAGTGTTTTATTTTAAAAGAAATAAATATATGTGGTGTCTCATCAAGTTATATAAGTTATTTACTTTCTGCAAATAAGACAGTTCCACTCCATCACTTTTTAAAAGTTATGAAATATTATTTTGTAAAAATTATTTTCTCTCCAAGTCGGATAATAAACCGCCTCTTATTGAAATATTAATGATGACGTGGTCTCGCATGCTCACAGCAAACAATGATCCAATCTCGTGAATGAACCGAAAAGCATGATGGTCTACTACGTTTTTACTACTGTAACAAACACGTGAGTTAGAGATTGTCAATACATGAGCACACCTCAGAGTTGGTTGCTTTTTGTACGGAGGAATAATCACGTGCAATTGTCTATTCACTAGCAGTACAGCACGGGGAAACTCTAAACAAACGGACCTTTACAATGGAGTGGGGAAAACTTTAATTTTTATCATTGTTGATCATTTGTATGCAAATATGAGCCTGGGACTAGTAGAAAATAATGTACATAATGCATTAAGCGTGTAAATGCTTGGAAAAATGCATCAAGTCTTTCCGAGAGCGATTTAAAAAACTAGCCTTTTCGAAAAACACATGTAGTATTTTATGTAGTAACCCATAAATGCATTAAATGCAACTCATTGGGCTGATTGGTCTATTTGTCAGTCATATTGATTCCTCACTGAACAGACGTCACAAAAAATATTTTCCTCGACCTGATGATTCTCGCGATGCTTTTCCAGCGCACATGCGCAGATCCAGAATAAACGTCAGTCCTTTATAAATATGCATGAGAATATCGTGTTCTTTTCCCGACCAGAACTTTGTTAATACCGAATGATATTTCGTCGAATTTGCAAGAATGCTTCATTTTTGATAGCTTATCATACTTCAGAAATTTTTGTTCGGTTTCAGCTGTGCAAAAATACTGTTTAACACGGCATACATATCTTTAACCTCCTAGCCTTCTGAAAGGAACTACTTTACCTTCTGCTTTTACATAAATGCCGATTTCATCAGCGATACTAGGTCCTTATAAGAAGAAAACAGAAACAAATTAGAGGAAGCAACAGAGTAAAAAAGTATTGAGATAGAAAAACTGGTGCTTACAAAAAGACTGCCAACTTACCACATGTGTAATCTACATTTAAAAATTTCTTGTCTCCTACGGCTGGATCAGAAAATATAGCATTGTCGGCCTTTACCGAACAGGCATCCATGTAGTTACACCTGCTTCTCATTTGAGATGTCCCATAAGTCCACCGACCACCTAACCCATAGGTAGCTCTTTTTATGTGAATAGTCCCTTGAGACGCACAGTTTATGCTCAAATAATCATGTTCTTTTGCCGTTGCGCTCACTACAATAATAACACTATCAAAAGACATAAGAAACAGATCATAAATCGTTTCAATGATAGATGTTTATTAAAATTTTTTAGACCAGTGGCTGTTTCTTCAATGGAACGCATTATGACGTATCAGTAATACAAATATTTTTTTTAACCCGACTTTAAATGTCTATTTATACAGATATAAATATAAACAATAAAATGTCTTTCTTTGGTTGTTAGAACAGGTATCAACGTCACATCTATTTAAAAAAAAAATACGTACATGTAACCTGGCTACGCGCTGTGTTTTTTTTTTGCATCTAGTGTGACATTAATATTTAAACTAACATGCAAGTGTGATATTATGATTTCTATTTGTGTATGTGTTTATTCGTTTTTATTAATTTTTTTCATATCATTTTGAGAAATATAACCACAACTTCGTTTACGCACCTGAATTAGGTTGCCTAAGTCACCGTATACAACGGGTAACGCGGGGAAGTCGCTAAAAAGTAAGGGGGAGTCGTTTTCAACGTATGGGGGAGTCGATTATCACCGCTTCGGAGTCAGAAGAGATGTGGGTCACGTCTTTTTTCGGTATATTGAAGATGTATATACAAAAAACAACTCGCCCACGGAAGGTAGCAATAGTTAAGCTTTCTGTTGGTCATTTGTCCGGCTAGCATATACGTCTAGTTTTCTCAAACACTTCGAAACTATTCGACATATTTCATATTTACGTTGATCGAGTGGTTAAAATATTCATAGTTTGCATAATCTACGACTTGTGTAGGGATTATGACAGTTAAAACAGCAAAAGCAAACTTTAATCTTTGAAATGCAACTATTCAAATTTGGCTAGACTTTATAAAAATTAATAATTAAGACATTTTCTCTTCAGACAGTAATGGTTACGTAGGGGGGAGTCGTTTCTGGAAAAACACAACGCATAGGGGAGTCACACAATTGAATTGTACTATTTTTTTTTAAATTTCGACTTTTCCTTTGCTAAATGCTTCCATACATAATTATTTTGATAATTTTATAATTTTAGTAAAATGTAACATGAATAAAGATCAATATAAGCAATATGTACATGTGAAAATAAAAACATGTATTTATCGTTTCTTATTGTGAAGTGCATGAGTATATACATGTACCAGTACTTCATATACATTACTACGTGAACATTTGATATGGTTTCTGCACGGATGATCAGTGGCATATTCCAAAATTTTCAGCATTTTAAATTAAATACCGTTAGGCAGTTAATGTCGAAGAAAAAAATATTGAAACTACAAATATGCAGGGGGTGAAGGAAGGGGACTTCAGCTTTGCCAATTTCCCTCACACATAACATGAAACTCTTTTAAAGAGTATACATGTATTTTGGGATGAGGGCATGATATTTTAATAATTTTCTTTGTGAATTTTTATAGCTCTGATTATGATTAGAACTTCAGACCCTGCCCTTACCCATAATAACAATTCTGAAAAACATTTCACGAAACAGGCGCGTAGTATGAAAGGTCTTCCAACGTTTTGTTGCAGAATATTTAAATCATTGTTATATTTGCAAATGTGTTATGATAAAATTTGGTTGAGAAACTCTGTTGTAACATTCTTCCACCAACCTTTTTTTTTGTTTGTCAAATTCTTTCAGATTTAAGTTGTTTATAATTTTTTTTTTCATACTAATTCATGAAAAATTGTTATTGTAAAAAAATTATAACTAAAAGAAGTAAAGCCTTTCTACTGTTTTTCTGAGCGGTCAAATAAATCTGTTTGACAGTGGAGTGAGATGTTGGACCTGTCGATGAGATATTGCACCGCTTACTTCACAGTGTGGGTGGGGTCACTGTCAGAACTTGACGGAATTAACAAAGTTTAAACATGACATTTTTGTCGACCCCTCAAACTTTTTGTTTTCGGCTTAACAGCCTCGGGCAAACAGTTTGGTTCCTCGGTTCGTAAAAAACGCATGTTGACCTCGAATTCTGTCTATGAATGTATACATGTAGTAATGACTGTATAAATCCCAGATCATCCCAAATATTCTCATTAAGTATGCATCGTTTGTGCCTGAAGATGTGTTATCTTATATGATAAAATAAAAATAAATTATTTATATGTGGACCAAATTGAAAGCATACACCAGTTTAAAAATTTCTAAACCCCCCCCCCCCCCCCCAAGAAAAAAGAAGTCAAGGTGCGGGAATGACGCGCCAGAGATTTTCACTTTTCCGATTAAAAAATTTCCATATTATAAATCTGATTTTTATGGAGAGGCTGTCATTGTTGAAAGTGAGGGTTCGTGTTCTTTTTGAATTTTTGTGATGTATAAGAAAATTACATACTGAGCTAGGAAAGGGTTTTGTCCCCAAGCACATGTGCTCCCAAGATATATATTCCAATTGTACATGTATATTGCTGATATTTTCTTGAACTAAAAACAACACCAGTTAGGTATGCATTTCACTTTATTTTGCGACTCCCCTATGCGTTGTGCTTTTCCAGAAACGACTCCCCCCTACGTAACCATTACTGTCTGAAGAGAAAATGTCTTAATTATTAATTTTTATAAAGTCTACCCAAGTGTGAATAGTTGCAATTGAAAGATTAACGTTTGCTTTTGCTGTTTTAACTGTCATAATCCCTACACAAGTCGTAGATTGTGCAAACTATGCATGTTTTAACCACTCAATCAACGTAAATACGAAATCTGTCAAATAGTTTCAAGTGTTTGAGAAAACTAGACGTATATGCTAGCCGGACAAATGACCAACAGAAAGCTTAACTATTGCTACCTTCCGTGGGCGAGTTGTTTTTTGCATATACATCTTCAATATACCGAAAAAAGACGTGACCCACATCTCTTCTTACTCCGAAGCGGTGAAAATCGACTCCCCCATACGTTGAAAACGACTCCCCCTTACTTTTTAGCGACTCCCCCGCGTTACCCGTTGTATACGGTGTAAGTGAAGTTTTATTCTATGATTTCATTGGTCCTTTTTTGATTGGTTATTTCTTATTTTTCATTCATAATACATTTTTCATTTTAAGTATAAACTTACCGCTCTTAACCTATGTATGTCAGAGCCGTAATACGCTTTCAAGGAGTAAAGAAGTTAATGCAGAGTCAGTCATATGCATTTTATGGTATGTATCTTATATATTTGATTATGTGTTTTAATTCTTGCCATTAAAAGATTCGATTTAAGTAATCATTTTGATTGCAAATATTTTACTTAATTGCATAATTGCAATTAAAGTTGTAACTTAAATAATAATGAGTCTGTAAGATTTCAATTAAAGAATGATTTTAAGTTTTGTATGAATTATTGGTGTGTGAATCACACAGACTTGTCACGTAGGCATATTTCATAAAGCACGCTAGAGCTTCATGAAAAATATACCTACGTGCAAGTCTGTGTAATTCACACACCAATAATTCATACTGAAGTAAAAAAAACACTTTTTATATTTACATTTTTCATGTCTTAATAAAGCATAAAAAATATACTCAATATTTGAATTCTTGCTGCCCTATTTCGTTGCTTTTTTCTAAAGTCTCTGAAGCCTCATTGTGACGTCACGTAAACTTGTGCACGTTTCTCTGTGTATATTCCTACGCCTACACGTAGGAATACACGAAAATGGTAATTTAAATAATTTTCACAGTTGGCTTAGTATATAGAAAAATACAACGAATGTAAATATTTTGAATTGTTTACAGAACACAATTTTTCAGAGTTATTTTTCTTTTGTTAACTGTAGGTAAATTATCTCGTGTTATTTTCATAATTTCTATAATTTTGACTTACTCAGTTTTAAACACTTTGTTATTTTAGGTACTAGTAATTCCCTTATTTCCTTAAAAAAATTATCATGAAAATATAACCTCTGTCTTGCTGCTCGGTTACACAAAAAAGCATTTATATTGTCTTTGTAGCATTTTGTTCTTACGGCTATTCCATAGTGAGGCTATAGAACCTGGACTATATAAAATTGCTGGAAGGCTTGGATTCTCTCCCAGCAGATCATAAATTCTTGTCCCAAATATTCCGAACCAAAATTTCCCAACATCAGATGAATGTCCGCCTTCGTGTTTACTGATTAAAAAGTGTCTATCAGAGTTCACCTGTCTGTAAAAAATAATAATTATTCAATTAATGATAAAGAAGATTTTCATACTTTGCAAATTGCTTCCACACGGAAAAAACAATAAAACATTATTTTCCCCACTGTTTTAAGAAACGTATTTCCTTGCTTAAAATTAATTCTCTAGTTTGAATTGGAACGGAGACCGTTACAGAATTTCTCTAAATGCCCCACCCTCCACTTTCGGTGCCTTATTCCTGATAATCTTCATTATATCAAGCATACTGGGCTTGGTATTTTCTACTGCCAAACCTTCAAAGAATGCTATCAAAAAGTATAAAACGTTACACTGTTGCTGTATGAAATATAAATGGTGGCTAAATTAAGTATATTAAAATTAGTCGTTTTTCGCATTACACTAACGCACAAGTGCTTGCATGGACATGGTGATAAAATCATCTTGTCTATGAAATATATGGAGATAACTAAAAGTATTCAAGCCCAAGAGCCCATAAAAGAAAACAAATAGGTGCAGAGTAAATACGGACCTCCAAAACATCAGGGTTTGAAAGAATCAGGTGCCATGGAAGAGTAAGCTTCTTCTGCCGACCAGTCACACCAGCCGTGAGCTCACTATTATGATTGGTAAATTACGGAAAATCCGTTGTCAAGTCAGTGTGTAAATAATGGACTAACAATTAGTATGAAACACATCAGTCAGCATTTGACTCCATGATTAATTGTAGATGCTGACAAGGTCATTGCATCGATCAAAGAACCTACAAAATGATGACTAAGAATGAGACTGCTGATATTCTTGTTTCATTAACTTGTTTCTCAATAATTTACCTCGTTTAATAAATTGTACATACTTAGAGCATGCTCCTGCATAAGGAATCTACTGAGAGATATAAACTCCGCATGCATGTGATGAAGGTACATGTATATTGCTCCATCAGAAAATAAAGGAAGTTGACGATTGAAAAGTTACAGTCGTCAGTACTCATCACGTTTATCACAGAACTTGGTTCTTGGATTACCATTACCGTCTCTTTAAGTTAAATATCCAAATATGAAATAGATGTGTCAGACTGTGGTATCTCAACCTCACCAGAATATATCGTATCGACTTAATAATTGAAACAATCATTGTTAATTGACAATACGTCGTTAATTTATCTAAATGTCGAGTTGAAGACAACGACAAGTGTTTTCTTCTTTTCATATGTAAGATTTTGGATAAATTCTGCTTAATGTGAATACAAAAATGGGTCTTCTAATAACAGAGCTTCTTGAATATATTGTTGCACAGTACTCATGAAGTTTCTCCTTCACTACAGTTAATATCTTAGTGAGAGAAAGATAGAAGCTTGGTTGAACATTTACTGGAACCCGATATGTATCTTTGTTTGTAAGGGTTTTTACCAAGTTTCGGAATCTAATAAAGATCTGGTAATTCGAATTCATTTTGGTTGTTTGGGATTTTAAAAATACTGTAATATTAAGGTTTTTCCACTCTTACAGTTTTAATGGTTCAAAGTACAAAAACTGCATTTATTTTTTATTTAATATAGTTTAAATTTACTAATTATTGCAAGAAATGTAAAGGTCGCCATATCATTTAGGATAGGAGATATAAATAAACAAAAGTGTATGTCAACATAAAAAATTGTACATTTTTTGTAAACATAATGATAAAAATTATGTAAAAACTGGTTCAAATGTATAATTCTGATGCTGAAAGTCCGATATACTTGCTACTTCTAAGATACTTTAGAATTGTGAATATCAGGAAAACTACTGTAAACGTATTACATTTAGCGGTATATTCTTTTTTGTTTTTTTTTTCCGCTAATTTAAGTACAACGCTAAATGTCTTAAACATATAAACATTATTGGAGTTTTATGAAGAGACTTACTTTTACAATCGACGACCGACTTTTGCAACTTAAACATAGACAAACTCAAATTACTAAAATGTAAAAGTCAGCTGTCAAATGTAAAAGTAAGTCTCTTCATAAAACTCCATTAAGAATATTAAGAAATACGCTAAATGAAATCTACGCTAACTTGTTCAAAAATCAATTTTTGCCAAATATGGTACAAGCTAAATATAATACATTTACCAGGTATTCCAACAATCTATTGGAATCCCATGGGTACAAATTGCGCTCCGTTATTGGCAGACTTATTTCTATATTCATATGAAGCAGAATTTATGCAAAATCTTAGGCGTGAAAAGAAGAAAACACTTGCTGTGGCCCTCAACTCGACATTTAGATATGTCGACGTATTGTCAATTAACAATGGTAATTTCCATTCCTACGTCGATACGATATATTCTGGTGAGCTCGAGATAAAAGATACCACAGAGTCTGGCACATCTGTTTCATACTTGGATATTTTACTTAAAAAGACTTAAATAGTAATATAACAACTAAGCTCTATGATAAACATGATGACTTTAACTATTGTCATCTTTTCTTACTTATGCAGCAATAAACCTTCATCACCTGCATACGGAGTTTATATATCAGTTGATTCGATACGCAAGAGGATGCTCTATGTATGAACAATTTCTAAAACGAGGTAAATTATTGATAAGCAAGTTAATGAAACAAGAATATCAGCAGTCTCGTTTAAAGTCATCATTTCGTAAGTTCTATGGTCGATAAAATTACCTTGTCAGCAAATACAATTTATCATTGAGTCAAACGCTGACTGACGTTTCTCATACCAATTGTTAGTCCATTATTCATACACTGAACGGATTTTTCCGTTATTTCCTGATCATGACCATGAGCACACAGCGGGTGTGAGCGGTCAGCAGGGGATGCTCACCCCTCCATGGCACCTGATCCCACCTCTGATGTTTCGGAGGTCCGTGTTTGCTCTGCTCTTTTGAAATTAAAACCGATTCTTTTAGCAGTTGTTCTATAGATATGCATACTCGAATTTCTCCATAAATCCACCACGTCATAACAAGTTACAAATACATGTTGAATAGTTTCAGTATCCTCCTTACAAAAGTTACATAAATCAGATGTTTTTATATTAATTTTCTTAAAATAGTACCCGACAGGAAGAATTCTATGAAGAAGTCGGTATTGAAGCCATTGTACTGAAGAATCATTTGTTGTCTTGAAACACACTCAAAAACATCTTATGTGCATATATCATTCACTCCATGAGGGGACAACTCTGAATTCCACTTTGAAATTGCTGTAGGCTTCAAACAATTTTTGTTTATGACATTGTAAATGATTTTTGAACATTTTGTATTCGAAAAAATATATTCAAAATAAAAAGGTAAATAAGGCAGACAACTTTTGTTCAACATTGTTCTCTTAATTGCCATATTTTAAAAACATTTTGCAATGGCACTAATAACACTATTGTAATGCATTACATTTAGAGTAGGAAAATTAAATTTTTTTTGAAAAGCAGATTTTGAAAGAAAAATAAAAATCTGTCTGATCCGAAATTAGAACATATTTTTTATACCCCCCGCTTGAAAAGGGGAGGGCATATAGTAATCGTCATGTCCGTCCGTCTGTTACGCATCTACACATATTTTGGGTTTCCCACAACACTGCCATTATATTCATATGGGAGGCGGAGGGTATCATTTAGTGAGCTCATTGCTCACAGTACCTCTAGTGATCTTCCTTTTGATCTTTGATTTTTAACAGGTAGAGTTTGTATGATTATGATTAAAAACTAGAGGTACTGTGAGCAATGAGCTCACTAAATGATATCCTCCGCCTCCTATATTATGGTTACATTTTATAATGGCAAAGTCCATGATTTGCTGTGGCCGGGAAACCCAAGATATGTGTCGGATCAAAAAGTAAAATAGGAGGTGCACAAGGGCAATATGCAATAAAGATTCTGTGAAAGTTTCATTAAACAGGTCGAAGAATACTCGAAATCGGGTATTATCCGTGAAATCGCGTATAATACTCGATATTAGGGTATCGTTGAATCCGCGAAATCGGTATTTCGTAACTTTCATAAAACTAAAGAAAAAGAAACGCATTATGAGTAACGTATCTTGTGCATCAGTATCTTGTGGATTTATTTTTATTAAACCTAATTCATACGGTTGTCAAATAAGTTTAAAATCACACGACAAACACTGCTGGGGTAACAAAGAGGACACAATGGCGTTATTATTTTTCAATATAATTTCTAAAAACAAATAACTACACTTCGTTCGTCTTTATTTCCCATTAAAGTATTCCATATACTTATTTTTCTAATTTGTGCACTATTCACAAAACGTGAAATTTTAAAGAAATTAAACGACTAACGCCGTGTTATGTATTTTTACTGAAAAATGTATGGCGTCCCTTTCTCGTGAAATATAAATTACCCCTAACAGTTAGAGAGTACAATATAAGCGAGTCATAATTGTATATCTCTGTCATAATAGAATACAAACGTTATTATACAGAAGAAAATAAAATACGATTAAATAAATACCCACGGGAAAACAGTTTGAAAATAGCTAATTGAAGGTGAGATCTTTAATATGTCAATTTAGCATGAAATTTTTATTCAAAGACACCGTAAATTTTTTGGTTGCATTTTAATCGATACAAGATATGCTAATTTACCTTTATTTTATGCATTTGTGTGAAAATTGAGAGCGAGAAGTCATATGAACAGGATTTTCTTGTTTTTTTTTTTTTTTTGAGGGGGGGGTATAAATAAAGGTCAAATGTGTACATCTTTTCATGAGCTGATAATACATTGAATTTCTCAATATAGATCGAGGTACAGTCATATTGAAATATGAGTTACATAGTCAAGTTTTCACATTTCTTATAGTTTTTATGTTTATGAACATGTTAATGAACAAACTGAAATAATTCAATTCAATTCAATTCACTTTATTGACAATTACCATGTCGGCATACAGTCATGAACATTTAAATAACGGAGTATTTAAATAATGGAGTGTTCAACTATAAAGGATAGTTATTTTACCTTCTGAACTTTATATTGGAAACATTTTAACAGAAGTATAATAATAATCGGTATGTCCGTCCGTCCGTCTGTTACGCTTTGGGGGTACCTTTCTCTTATCAACAAATCCTCTCATAGCAGTGAAGAAATTAAATGAATCTTGCACAGAATCTTTATTACATATTGCAATTGTGCACCTCTTATTTTTATTTTTTGATCTGATATATATTTTGGATTTTCCAGAGCAAAAGATGGACACTGCCATTATATTCATTTGGGAGGCGGGGGTATCATTTAGTGAGCTCATTGCTCACAGTACCTCTAGTTTCTTATAATTTAAAAATTCAGTCTTGAAATAGTTAGAATAATGCACATGTGTATTTTATAGACATTCTAATAGTTACAAACAAACAGTACTTTTATCGCCAACTACATGTAGAGACACTGATACATGTACATTGTCAAGCGACTTCA